TAGGGATGTGCGAAGCCAGCCCTATTCGGTTCGGATCTGGCCTGAACCAGGGACAGTGATTTGATTTGTTGATTCAGATCACTGGCCGTGATTCGATTCAGCTGAATCTGAAGATTCGATGCTGATTTGGGGAATCAGCTATTAGGATCTAGACATAGATGGTTTTTCTACATACCTCAACGTACCAGGCACAGCCTGTGAATGCTGCGATGCTGGGGAGGATGGAGCATCTCACAGGGGAGGGGGGCGCTCCACGTGCTCAGCAGTGAACCCGGAAGCGGACTGGAAGTACTTCCAGTCCACTTCTGGGTCCGCCGGGGAGTGCGCTGGAGGGCTACCCGCTCATGGTCCACTTCTGGGTTCACTGCTGAGCACGCTGGGGAGCCCCTTGCACTTCTGTGGGACGCTCAGTCCGCCCCACCATCACAGCATTCACGAGCCACCTGCTACCTAGAGCTATGTAGAAAAAACATTTAAAGCTGTGTCTATGGCTGAATCTCTCCGAATCGATTCGGAGGACTCCAATTCAATTTGGAGAGATTAGAGGGTCCTCTGATTCAATTTGGATTCGGAGATTTGGCCGCCAAATCTCCACTGAATCGAATCAGGAACCGAAGCTTTGCACAGCCCTACTGTTTATCCCCATCTTACAGATGTGGAGCTGGGAAACTTAGGGCCAGATCCTGTTTCATCTGTTAGGCACCCTAAGAAGAACCAAGGCATCTGAGTTAAATGTGATTCTGTTCTATCCTGCTCAAGTCCTGAAAAACCATCAGTGCAGAAGGTGGGTGGTTCTTCCTTGTTGCAGCTTTTTGTGACATAGTCTTAAGGCTATGATGAAAGTATGTTGCAAAAAGAGAGGCATTCCAGGTACTTAAGCAGCATAGCAGGGGATCATGTTTAGACTGGGACACACAACGGGTGGAATAGGATCTTCCTGAAGTGACTTCTTCAGGGTCACACAGGAAGTTCCAGACAGAGTAGGGAATTGAACCCAGAGCCCAAGCTTAGGCTGGAAGTATATAGTCATTCTTCCCACACCCAGGCCAGTAAGGCTTTAAGAACTGCAGGAGCCACTCCTGTTGCAATAAAAAGTACTGGGCAAGGGAGAGAAGAATGCTGCAACGCTCTCCTTTTCTCTCCCTCCAGGTGTGCTTTATCGGCCGAAGCAACGTTGGGAAATCCTGCTTGCTAAAGGCTTTATTTTCTTTGGCTCCAGAAGTTGAAGTGAGAGTGTCAAAAACTCCGGTAGGTGTTGTTTTGGAATGCCCTCCCTCTCAGTTGGATGCTGGTGCCATTCAGGTGGGTTGGGAGAATGAGGGCCAAACTTTGCTTTGGGCCGAGTGAGTTAGTGTCTGGTCCACTGTGTGCATCCACTAGAATGCATGGAATTCAGTAGCAGAATGTCTGGTGAAGTAATGAATGCATGAGGTGGAAAGAGCCCTCAGAGTTTAGGGAAAGTATGTTGGGAGTAGATGAAATCCTGGAAGCAGAACATGCTTATTGTAGAGTTTCTTGAAACAAAACGAATGCAAGAGCTCTACAGAGGTGTTCTTAGCCACTTTCTGAAGGGCATATGCACAGTCGGACTGAAGTCCTCCTCCCTCTGAGTTAGAAGTCACCTTCTGATTTTCTGCCTAAATCTGTTTGCAGTCAGTTTTTACCCATTTGGTTCTGTCAGCTTTTCCCCCTACCTTAAATACTACTTCTGCTCTGTGACGTTTAGCCCTACACTATATTTATTGCCAGACATCCTGCTCCTTCTCATTTTGTTGTGCTGAAGGAGCCACACTTTTCTAGTTTCCTTTCACAAGCAGACTCGCTATGCATGTGGTCTTCGTAGCAGCCAATCCTTGCACCTTTTCCAGTTCATGCACGCTCAAGGTTGATGACCAGTGTTGTACGCAGAATTCAGGATAAGCCTTCACCAGGGCCTTGTACAATGGCATGACTGCCTTCCTGTTTGTATTGGAGATATTTCTCCCAATTGGGATTGCATTTTCCTTATTTATGGCTGCATCGTGTCCTTCTCCTTGATTCTTTTAGACTGATAAACTCCCACCTTATAGAAGAAGTTTTTGTTCTTGTTCCCCAATGGCATAGTTGTGCATTTTGTTCTGTTGAATTCCATCCCATTTTTTTTTTACTCCAAACCTCAACATCATCCAGTTTTCTGCATGATATGGCTGATTCAGGGCCATGGCTCCGTATCTGTTGACTTAAATTTGCACATGTGAGCTGGAAAAGGGCAGGGGGAGGTTACTCATATGATGGCAGCCTGGAGGCACCTTTGTCTTGCTTCCAGCTCATGGAGTATTTGAAGATTCCAGACTTCCTTCTCCAAAGCTGAGACCTGCTTCCATGCACAGATGATTTACTCTGGCTCTTTGTGGGAAGCTTTCTGCTCGCCACAGCTGAATGGGAGTGTTTGTACAAGTTTTCTGCTCTAGATTTGGATCTGGTCTGCCTCCCTCCACTCACTCAGCTTTAAAAAATACTTTTAATCTCAGAAATATAAATCAGTACACATGTCCCTACTGGGCAAACCTACATCATCATCAATACATAGATTTTCATAATTACACTTCGACAAACTTAAGCTGAATTCATCTACTGTTAGTCCAAGGGAATTTTTTCCACTAAATCCTGAATTGGTTCCTTGCTTTCACAAGTGCCTCCCTTTTCCAGACAGTGGGGTCGCTTCTTAAGTTATGCTTCTGAGTGTAAATAGATCTGAAATAGTACATTTTCCTGCATACAACATGCCCTGGAATAAAATGTGCCGTTTGTTTTTGAAAGGCAGAATGAGAAAAAAAAGATCTTTCCTTGTAGGAATTTATTGAGTAGCAGCAACCAGGAGCCAAGACTACTCATTGTTTTGCTTCCTGTGGATTGCTGCAGATTTTATTTTTGTTTTTGTCCAGGAAATGACAGAATTTGTTCTTACTGTATTTTTTACACATAATGTGCAGTCCAATTTCCAGCAGCTGTTGTGGGGAAAATGTGCTTGTTGTATGAAAAAAAAAAAATAAAAAAAAAAATACCGTACTTTCCCAGCTTCTAGGCCTGTCAAATTTTGTCTTGATTTTCTCCACATGCAGCTTATGTGCTTAATATAAATCACCTTTTTAGATCATCCTGTCATCTGCTCTGCCTTTGGCTAATACTTAAAAATGTTCTCTCACTCCAGGGTCACACCAAGAAACTTAATTTCTTCAAGGTGGGGAAACGTTTTACAATGGTGGACATGCCTGGCTACGGATACCGAGCCCCACAGGACTTTTCTGAGATGGTGGAAGTCTATCTACAAGAGCGGAAGAAGTAAGAGGGCTACCAAATGCAGTTGTAGTATTGCTTCCTGCAGTTCCAAGGCACATATTTGCAAATATTAGATGGAAGAGAGAAACATAAACATAAACTAAAATGTATCGAGGGGTGCATTAGGTGCATTCGACTCCCTGATCAGTTTTTGAACAGAAGTGGGAAAAGTTTGTTTCCAGTCTCTTATGCCTGGACAGATCAAAGCCCCAAGAAATATTTAAGGTGATGTCCTGCACCAGTTCCTCTCAGGATGAATTGTAGTTGATACGAAGGGTTGTGTGGGGGCTAAAATCACTTTTCATTGCTACTCAACTGAGACCACTGTTGCTATGTTGCCACTTAGCTCTTTGTGCCTTTGGCAGCTTGAAGAGGACATTCTTATTAGTGGATGGTGTAACAGGAATTCAGGAAGTAGACAACACTGCTGTAGAGATGTTGGAAGAGTTTGGGATCCCTTATGTGGTAAGTTAATCCTTTCTCTTGAAAGCACAAACCCAGAATAAAGGTTTGTTTAAAGAATGCCCCTGACTTGTGTCTAAAATACATAACAGACCAACCAGATGACCCTGTGCAGTACAGGTCTACTAGCAAGTTAAAGGTGACCTGTATGGCAAAAATCCCTTTCATTATAATATAGGAGGCCTGAAAAGCTGCTTTTTTTAAGGGCTAGATCTTCAAAATAGAATTACTTCTTGGTGTCTGGAGTGAGACACCTGAAAAGGGCCAGATGTTCATAGGGCAAGTACTCAGCATTAATGTAGTATCTTGCCCATTAGATAAGACAGAAGGCAGTTGGAAAACTCTGGGAGAATGATGCATCTTGTAAATGTTTCCAGGCTTCCAATAACATTTCTCTCCTCTCTCTCTCTCTCTCTCTCTCTCTCTTTTTCTTCCTCTCCATCCTACTCTAAATCTTCACTCAATGGATTTCTACAGCTCGTGTTAACAAAAATTGACAGAGCTCCCAAGGGACTGCTACTAAAAAATGTACTGGCGATCCAGGACTTCGTAGAGAAACAAACTCAGAGATGTTTTCCTCAGCTCTTTCCAGTCAGGTAACCTTCTGTTCTATGCACCTTCTATTTAAGCACCTGAAAGGAAGGAAACTAACTGGAAGGTGTTGGGTGGTTTTGGAGATGGAAGTCCTGGTTATGCACAGAACCAGTGCAGGGGAGGGTACCTGTAGAACGGAGGTGAGACTTCATCCTTCTAAGGCCCATACCTCCTTTGGCCTTTCTGGTTTGTGATGTGGAGGCTTGTCTCAGACCACCTGACTCCTCTCAGGCAGACAGTGCAGGGGGTGGTGACTAAGGCACAGTTGACTAGGACCTCCTGTGGAATGATTGTGGCTTTCTTCTTGGAAAAGAAAGGTAGTAGCTGTGCTCAGGCTGCCCAGTACAAATTAATGCTGCTCTATTCAACTGTACTGCTGCCTGTGCTTGCTTTGACTTCAGTGTCAGTACTTGTATTCCTCTTAGCCTATCAGTCTACTTGACTGGGAGGAGGAACAGGCTTTTCTTCTGGATCCACCATTAACAGAACATCAGGCTGAGACCTTGCCCTCTGTTACATCTGTACTGTCTGAGGGAAGCCAACTAGAGAGCACTGATGTAAATGAGAATGGAATTGGACATCTGAGTTACAGATAAAATGGAAAGGACCCAACTTGAGTTTCCCATTATGGGGTCAGATTGTGTCTGTTTATGTGGAGCAAGTTACAAACCTAGGACCCCAAAGTACTATCTTTTCAAGTCAGCTTTCAGGATACAAATACAAAACTACCTCAAATGATCATGCAAAAAAACCTATACCAAGGCCTAGGATGCCGTCCAGTGTTCTGTGCTTCTGTTGTCACTTACACCCATACAAAAAAGCTTCCATAGCAGACTGGTCACGTTCTGCAGGCACTCTTGCAGGAACCCAGGTGGCACAGTATATTTTTTATATTGTGCCTTTTTTTTTCCAGGAGTCACCGTGCCCTTGTTTATCTGTCTTATAGTATACGGGGTCAGTGTATTTTAGACTGAGCAATAAGCAATTGCTCAGTTTTGAGCAGTTGTTTCTGCACATACTAACTAATGAATGGAACAATTAATAAATCCTTATTTCTGTGTAGGACAAAGAGATTGGAGCAGCACTGAGAAAGGTGGATTGGTGATTTTAAGTCACGAGTCAGAAAATCCTGCTCTAAATTATCTTTGTGTGTGTGTGTTGAATCTTTTTTTCTAGGCTGCTTCTCATAGTTTGGTAACTATTAAAACGTATTCAGTAAATATAGCTTGTGCAACAAACTTGGCACTTTGCTATATTATACTTATGTGCTCCTATGTTAAATTATAATATATTTATTTTGATTCTTTACTTTTACATTTGTATGTTAGAAATAGTGAATGAGAAATTTTAAATTAAAATAAAGTAATTCAAGCTATATAAGGAAATAACTTGAAAGTCTGTTTAAATGTACAAAAACAATATCTTAAAGGTTAATTCAGATTTTAAATGAGACTTATTTTTTCCTGAATTATCCAGCACACTTGAGGTAGTTGTGTATAACTGAGCTTAAAAGGAAGGGAATTGTGCGGAATATGATTATTATGTTCTTAAATGTTTTAGGACAACTGGGTCCTAGATTTAGTTTTCATTCATAGGTTAGAAGAGCAAAATTAGAAACCTGACTTTATGAATCTTTGTTTCCACAGTTCTGTAGAGTTTTCTGGGATCTACCTGCTGAGGTGTTTTATAGCACATGTTACAGGAAATCTATCCATTACAGAGTCCTGATGACAACACACATGTCCCTAACCACAACTATCCTGTTGTACTCACTTATCCGCCATAAAAGGTACTAAAGCCCTATGACTGGATTTTGGATTTATGAGTTTGTAAATAATAAAAACATCAAACTAATTCCAGTATTTTATTTTAACTCACTGGGTAGAAAGGTGGAATCTTTGGTTTAAATTATTCCTAGAACAGATTATTTTTCAGATTTCAATCATTATTAACTTCATTAAAATATAATAAACATATTTTATAAATGGTTTATATTTCCTTCCCTTCCTTCATATGAAGGCAGTCTTGAATGTGAATGCATACATTCTAGAATATATGGCTACAGCTGGAGGTGAGCAAGACCCTGAGCTCTTTGAGTTTTAAGCATAGCATCCTCCTTTCTTAGCTAGATCAAGAACATCATGTAGGTGTGTTTTTCCCCTCCAATTAGTCATTGCTTTCTAGATCTCTTTTATTGAGGAAATCAGGGGTACCACGTGGAATTCAAGCCTTCTGATAAATCCATTTAGTTCTAAGTTGAACAGGAATGCAAGTCTTGATTTAGTGAGGACAAGAAAAAAGCAAGCACAAAGCAGTCTTTCAGAACCATCCACCTAATTTTGATTGCAACAAGAGTTGACAAGGACCCAACCACTTATATCAGGTGTAGGCATCAATTAAGTATGCAGATGTCACAGATGGTTTCAGTGGCTGAAATCTGAGAAGTTCTAGTAAAGATTTTTGTCCCCACTAAAATGAAAGTATTTACTTAATGCTGAATATTTCAAATATTTAAACAATTGACCATTTATAAGAACATATATTTGTAAGAGACAGAATACTTCTAACCCGCCTTGCAGACCAACTGTGGAATTGGACATACAGGAGTTTCCCTGAGCATAATAAATCATTGGACAAGACAAGAACCTGGTTCCAATTCTTCTTCTGGAGCTAATGAACTTCAAACATCTGTAGCAAAATAGGTCAACCTCTGGCTATCCCCAGTCCACAGACTCCGGAAGGAGTACTTGATTTCTCATTCATCTTGCAGGAGTGTACTGTGACTGTCCACCCTGCTGGTTCTTGAACTCTGGAAGATGCACTACCAAGAAATGTGTCTGGTAGATGCACTTGACATAGAGAGCTACACTCCCACCCCTCTTCCCAACACTATCTCTCCTGTAGAGGGTATAGCCTTCTATACCTACCAGCCAGTCATAGGAAGAGTCCCACCAGGTCTCTAAGATGCACCACCAAGAAATGTCTGGTAGATGCACCAGATACATAGGCTGACTTCTTCCCTGTGTTTAGAAGGTGAAGGAAAGATCTCACCTTTGAGTATCAGATATCACAATAGATTTGTCAGTCATAATCTGAATATGGTGCTTCTGACGTGGTGTAGGAAATCCTGGATGCTTGCTGCCCTGCTTGGAAGTCCATTATGTTAATGTGGAGCTTTGCCTCCTTGGAACATGAGAGGCCTTGCATTTGGAGACTGCTGACTTATGCTCCATGCCCTAGTAGAGAAGTGTTTGCTGTGATGGTCACAAAGGAGTGGAAGAGGAGGAATGGGACCTGATGACTGAAACTCATGCTAAGCTTGGGCCTACTCACAAAACTTAAAATACAGAATAACGCTAACTGCGTATTGCAAGAGAATGCGAGTTCATGGCTAGGCCATCTAAGAAGGAATAATGAAGTATCTCTTCCAGCTTATCTTTCTATACTCAAAATGATTTCAGGCAGACTCTTAGTTGTTTGGTGTGTAACCATGTGAAATGTCTATCCTTGGCTCCTCAAAATGGCACCATTGCCAAAGTTTTCTGTTCACCTCAGTAATGCACCTATCCCTCCAGGGCCCATGACCTGTGATTGTGAGGGTTGAGGAAAAAAGTACTTGAGCCCTAGACCATTGAGCCCAGCCCCCAGAGCCCTGTAGTCATGCATGACCTGGCTGGGATTGCTCCAAGCTATGTCATTTGTGCCCACATGGATGAGTAGCATGAAATGGTGGTCTAAGGGCCGGATGAGTTTGGGGATCCTCTCAGTCACATCACGGAAACAAGCCCAACAAACTACTCTGCGTCTTGTTCTGGGCGCAGCTGCTGGTGGCCCTCCTTCCTCATATGCTGGGGCTTGAAGTTTGGCTGCTTCAGCTGGTGTGGGGTTCAAAACGGTTGTGCAGTTCCAGGGGAACGGTCTCTCTGGTGCAGTGCCTCCAAGGGCCAGAGACTACCTCCATCCAGGCAGCCCGATTGAACCTCACGGTGGCTCTTTATTTTCATCAAAGCATCGTCAGTCGTTAAATGGAGTACCTGAAAGTAGGTGTCCAGTTACTGTCCTGCATCTCTAGTGACTCGCAGCCATTGCACCATTGCCTGGAGTTCCCTTATCTGGCACTCCAGGGCCTCCACTGTTGAGCACATCCCACAAGGGGAGGTGTCAGTGCTCCCAGACCCAGCTGCCTGTGTCTGTGCCAGGCAGCCTACACAGGAAGCCAGGGGCTCCATCTGAATGAAGGCTGGGGCTATGGGTCCTGCCTGGGTGGGAGCAGGGACCACAGGTTCCGTTTAGGTAGAAGCTGGAAACATGGGCTCTGTTTGGGTGGAGACCCCGGTAGTACCAGAGCAGGGGGGTCCAGGTGCAGGGTGGAGCTTCAGGATGCGATGCATCCCTCCCACCATGGTGCTCATAATAATCTGGGCTACTACTGTGCAGAACCTTCCTTTCAGACTCCTCGCCTGGAGCCTCATGCCCCTCCTGCCTGCCCTCCTGTGCGAACTCCTGCGCTAACTCGCGTGCTGGGCCTAGAAGCATGCCTGGTTGCGTGTTCTGTTTGTGAGGCTCCAGTCGCCTGCCTCCCTGAAGGGCTGGGCGAAGTAGGAGCAGGAGAAATTACCATTGTGGTTGACAGCCCTGTACTTATTTCTGCAAGTGTCTTAAAAAGCACCTATCTGGAAGCCTATGCGCTGCTGTCAAAATTCCTAACTCACTATGGAAAACAGCTCTGTGGCACCCTAGGATCACAAAATTCGTACCAATATCTGGCATGAGGGTAGTGATGTTCTCAATCACTACCAAAGATAGCTCTGCTGCATCCTAGGATCATAGCCACATCCCACTGTGGACTCGGAGTCATCTTGTCTAGTCATCCTGTGCATTCATACTTGACAAATACACCCAGGTTCCTCTCCTGTGTCTTTGTTTCTGAAGACCCTCTCTCACATTTTCAGCTTGGTCCTCAGGCCCTGCCATCTGCACAATGGAGCTCATACCACCCTCACTGCCTCAGAAAGGACACATTCATTTATGCCTATGAAACACGTGGATCCTCCAGTGATCAGCACGAAAGAAAAGCTCAGTAGGAAATTAAAACTTTTGTATCTGGAGTGGGGTATATGTGGCCTGTAGCAAGTGATGTGGGGGGCTCACACCCTGAACAAGGAGGAAAGCAGAGGGAACAAGCTGCTCCTTCCCTGTGCACTGCCCAGGCTGGGTGCACAGGGAGGCAGGCCCCCATGATACATGGGAAGATCCTGGGCATAGCCCACAGAAGAACTGTAGCCTCCTCTAACCACAGGATAGGGGGACAGGACTATCAGGTGTGCATCAGCTGAGCTCTTGGGACAACTTGAAACAATAAGAGGGAGGGCAGCGAGGGTCAGAGGTTAACAACAAGTGCTGGGGGGTGGGAAACAAGGAGTAGGGCACACTGGCCCTCCAACAAATTGGAGGAGCCAGCAGACACCACCCAGTGAAACTCTGCTCAGAGACGTGACTGGCTAAGGGCTAGGAAAACATGGGTAGGCAGGGGCTGGTGGGAACATCAAGATAGGGGGCAGCCCTCCCCTCCCCAGGCCCCCACCAATGTTCCCAGAAGCTGCAACACCCTTTAAAGGTTTGGGTTTTTTTCCCAAAGAAAAGAAGAGAGGAGAGGAGAAAGGAAAGCAAAAGCAAGAGGCGAGGCGAGGCCTGGCGCAGCTTTGCCCCCTCCAGAGGGAAAGCGGAGGAGCCCAGGGCCGGGCTGAGGCGGAAGGCGCTGGCATCGAGGGGATGGGGCCGAGCCGCCGCCCCGCTAGGGCCCGCGTGCGAGAGGAGGGAGAGGCGCACAGGTCCGTCCGGGCTGGGGACGCTCCTTCTGCGCGGGGAGGAGCCAGGCCGCCGGCGGCTGCGGGGCGGGGCGAGGCCCGAGCCCAGCCCCGGCTGCAGGCACCGCCCCCCCGGGCACGTGAAGCGGTGGAGGGCGGAGCTGAGGCCGCCGGCGGAGGTGAGCTTTAGCGGGGAGGCTGCGCTGCCGGGCACGTGTGGAGGCCCCCGCGCAGCCGCCTGCTCGCGCGTCCCTGGCTGTGCGCTCCCGGTGCCCGGAGCGGGGACTTACAGCATCGTAACAAAGGAGGGTTGGGAGGGCCGTCAGCGGGCGTCTCGTCCAGGCCCTGCTCAGAGTAGGACCAGCTCCAGCTGTTGAGCCCTAGCTCAAGTCTGGGATTGTGCCCGGTATGTAAAGGCCAATAAAGATAATCAGGGGTGAAAGTATAAAGAAGATTTATTGCTAGCAATAAAAGGTGCAAGCGGAATAATTTTATATAACAAGCACACAGATTCTTAATTTTAAGCATCTTTTATACAGGAGTATTGGACCTTTATAAGCATTCTTGTTTGTTAATTGGTTATAAAGGAGTGACGCAAGGAGTTTTTTACTGAGCATGTCTCTATATCTGTGTTTTAGCTATGTATCTCATTTACATATATGTATGTTTTATTAGCATACTTTCTCCCCACCTAGGGGCGTGATTTTTAGTATTTAAATTAGCTCTTTGCCCTAGTCCTCCGATTCTGCTTTTGTTTTCAAGCCTCCTTTATCTAAGACTGTCTCCTCCTTATCATTGCAGATGGGCATTAGTTATATAACAGAGACTTTTGTTTGGGCTTTGTATAGTGGTTTTTAGGTCAAACCTGACACAGCTATATCATCCCTAACAGGGCGTTGTCTGCCCAGGTCTTAAGAGCCTCCAAGGATGGAGATCCCACCAGCTCTCTAGGTAGCCTCTTCCAGTGTTTCACCACATTCCTAGTGAGGACGTTCTTTCTAGTATCCACCCTAACCCTCCCTTGCTGCAACTTGAACCGATTGCTCCTTGTCCTGTGATCTGCCACCGCTGAGAACAGCCCAGCTCCATCCTCTTCAGACCCCTGTCAGCAAGCTGAAGGCTGCTGTTAACAACCGGGTGACCTGAGATCCTCTCCCAGGGGCGGCAGCACCCGTGCAGCGTCACCCTGCGATTGACCGCTTAAACCCGAAGGTTCCAAATAAGAACCCCCAGTGTCAGCAACATTCTGACCCGCTGCGGGCTCCGTGCCCCAGAGGAGCGGCTCTGGTGTTTTTCCCTGGTCAAGGAGAAGAAAACGAGTGGAAGCCAAGAGCTGGCACTTTCCAAGTGGGGAGGCTGAAGTCTAACAAGGGTGAGAGCCACTGGCTTAGACTGTAGTCACCCCCAGACTCAAGGTTTTTCTTTTTCTGGCTGCACAGTGCCTGGCATGCCAGTAGGGTTCCCTTTTATTATTAGGCAAGTATTTTCTGTTGTACGTGTCTGGTGGGTGTTTTAAAGCTTCAACTGGGGTGTGCCGATTCTATTAAGAGCAAAGTTGGAGGATTCTGGCTAGAGGGTCTTGCCCCTTCACTCAGGGTCTGACCAATCCCTATATTTGGGGTCAGGAAGGAATTTTACCCCATGGTCAAATTGATACAGACTGTTGGGCAGGGGGGGGGTTGCCTTTCTCTGGAGCTTGAGGTACATGGCCCTCTGCCCATGACCTGTTGAGCATATATTGACTGCATTTCATAGAAGCAGGTTGTCACAGTTCCTTTACTTTACCTGTGGCAGGTTGGGGTGTTAGGTCTGTGTTGTGTCAGAGTTGACAGTAGTCTTATCTAGACTATGGGTTATGGTTGCATGGGAAGGCTTGGATAGGGATCATCTTGCCTCAGGCAAGGGGTTGGACTAGACAAGGCGTTCTGGAGGTCACTTCCAGCCCTACTTCTTCCCAACTATAACCCTCATTGCAGACCCCTTCAGGGTGGTGATGGCAGAACAGTTAAAGTGGCTTCCTGTGGCATGACCCACCTGTAAAGGAGGCTGAGGAGTCAATGATAGGTGAATGGCCTGCTAGCAGCATCATGTCATGGGCTGCTGGCTATAGTCACTAGGCTGCCCTGATCATGTGAGATTGATAGGTCATTTCCTTCAGGCAGACCTTTTGTTTTTCTTTATTTTTCTTTTTTTGAAGCTTTCCACTGATAAGAACTCTGAACATGAGACACCAGTCTTGAGCAAGGGGCTTGTCTATACTGGAAAGGTTTTAGGATTAATCCTGCATTTGAATTAATGTAGGGTGAGAATTTGAAAGTACGGCAGCTGCTTCTGCAGAACCAGGTGGACATGCCATTATTTCAGTAAAAGTGGCTACATGGGCAGCTATTCCAAAATAACTGCATGTGCAGGCAAGTTTTTAAGAATCTGTCTTTGGTTAAGATAGTGGGCTAACTTGGTAAAGATTGGCAGAAGGCAAGGTAAGGAAGCACGTTATACACTAACTGTATCGGAGCTTTAGAGGTTGATTTAGTTAGTCTATAAGGTGTATCTCTACCCTGCCACCTGCCTGGGTTCAAACTAACGTGGCTAATTACCTCATTGTGTGCATTAGTAATTTTTCTGCTACTTGTAGGCTGATGAGCTTGTGGGAGTCAAAGCAGAGCATGCAGAGATGTTCTACCTGCAGAAGACAAGGAAATTTTTTGAGGCAAACTGGCTGCTACGGAGATGCGCTGCAACCTGGAAGAGCTTGCCAGATAAAGCTTCATTTGCAAACATACTGCGGATGGATGATAAAACGCTCACTAAACTGACTTTCCCCCTCCAGGATCTGGAGAAATATTATGTGTCCAATGTGAACACTGAAAACTTCCGGATCTTCAACCCCAGCCTGGATTACATCCAGTGGGCAGAGTTGCTTTTCAAACCCTCGAAAGACCATGAGATTGATTATTTCAGTTCTGCCATCCGCATGGATCACGCTCCACTACTGTCGCAGCCTGAGGTCAGGGCATTAAAAGGCAGGCCTTGCTTCTACAGCTACTGTCGCGAGAAACTTGAAAGTTCCCCCAGTGTAACATTTTTTTTCTTTCCTTGAATTCTTGGGCTCTAGTTACATTTGTTTTGGTAATTCCTTGACTAGGCAGAGGCAAAGAAGAATGTCTCAGTGCAGTCCCAGCCCTCTGCAAAATGCCAAGGGACCTGCCAGCATGAGTCTGTAGTAAGTAGGGCTATGCAGAATTTCACCGGTCTTTTCATTTCGATAGTGTTTCGAGCAATTTCAAGGTTGAAACAGCAAAATTGGAATGAAAGAAAAGCCGTCAAAGTAGCCTTGAAAAAAACTGAGGCTAGTTGAAACATTTCAAAAGTCGAAACATTTCGACCATAGGCTGGGGATGGGAAGTCAGTCCGGCTGGGCTGACTTTCCATCCCCAGCGCAAGATCCGGCAGGAAACGAGGAGTCAGCCCAGCTGGGCTGACTTCCCAGCCGCTGCGCTAGATCCCCATCCCCCGCACTAGGTCCTAGAACTTTCAGGCCTCTCCTGAAGGAAACAAAATGATCAACCCCCACAGATAGGGCACCCCTTGCAATTTCTGTGTCATTGAGGCATCAGGTTCTGTGCCTCTCTCGGCTTCTTCTGAAAGTGTTTACATACATATGTATGAGAGAGATCCAGGGACTGCTTGAATGAGACCCATTGTTTTTCTGAGGTACTTGTCTGGCCTCTCTCACCACAGTATCTGAGCATCTCATGATCTGGTGTGTATTATGTTACTGCAGCAACTCTGTAGGATAAGGAAAGCTGCGCTGGAGGGCTACCCGCTCATGGTCCACTTCTGGGTTCACTGCTGAGCACGCTGGGGAGCCCCTTGCACTTCTGTGGGACGCTCAGTCCGCCCCACCATCACAGCATTCACGAGCCACCTGCTACCTAGAGCTATGTAGAAAAAACATTTAAAGCTGTGTCTATGGCTGAATCTCTCCGAATCGATTCGGAGGACTCCAATTCAATTTGGAGAGATTAGAGGGTCCTCTGATTCAATTTGGATTCGGAGATTTGGCCGCCAAATCTCCACTGAATCGAATCAGGAACCGAAGCTTTGCACAGCCCTACTGTTTATCCCCATCTTACAGATGTGGAGCTGGGAAACTTAGGGCCAGATCCTGTTTCATCTGTTAGGCACCCTAAGAAGAACCAAGGCATCTGAGTTAAATGTGATTCTGTTCTATCCTGCTCAAGTCCTGAAAAACCATCAGTGCAGAAGGTGGGTGGTTCTTCCTTGTTGCAGCTTTTTGTGACATAGTCTTAAGGCTATGATGAAAGTATGTTGCAAAAAGAGAGGCATTCCAGGTACTTAAGCAGCATAGCAGGGGATCATGTTTAGACTGGGACACACAACGGGTGGAATAGGATCTTCCTGAAGTGACTTCTTCAGGGTCACACAGGAAGTTCCAGACCGAGCAGGGAATTGAACCCAGAGCCCAAGCTTAGGCTGGAAGTATATAGTCATTCTTCCCACACCCAGGCCAGTAAGGCTTTAAGAACTGCAGGAGCCACTCCTGTTGCAATAAAAAGTACTGGGCAAGGGAGAGAAGAATGCTGCAACGCTCTCCTTTTCTCTCCCTCCAGGTGTGCTTTATCGGCCGAAGCAACGTTGGGAAATCCTGCTTGCTAAAGGCTTTATTTTCTTTGGCTCCAGAAGTTGAAGTGAGAGTGTCAAAAACTCCGGTAGGTGTTGTTTTGGAATGCCCTCCCTCTCAGTTGGATGCTGGTGCCATTCAGGTGGGTTGGGAGAATGAGGGCCAAACTTTGCTTTGGGCCGAGTGAGTTAGTGTCTGGTCCACTGTGTGCATCCACTAGAATGCATGGAATTCAGTAGCAGAATGTCTGGTGAAGTAATGAATGCATGAGGTGGAAAGAGCCCTCAGAGTTTAGGGAAAGTATGTTGGGAGTAGATGAAATCCTGGAAGCAGAACATGCTTGTTGTAGAGTTTCTTGAAACAAAACGAATGCAAGAGCTCTACAGAGGTGTTCTTAGCCACTTTCTGAAGGGCATATGCACAGTCGGACTGAAGTCCTCCTCCCTCTGAGTTAGAAGTCACCTTCTGATTTTCTGCCTAAATCTGTTTGCAGTCAGTTTTTACCCATTTGGTTCTGTCAGCTTTTCCCCCTACCTTAAATACTACTTCTGCTCTGTGACGTTTAGCCCTACACTATATTTATTGCCAGACATCCTGCTCCTTCTCATTTTGTTGTGCTGAAGGAGCCACACTTTTCTAGTTTCCTTTCACAAGCAGACTCGCTATGCATGTGGTCTTCGTAGCAGCCAATCCTTGCACCTTTTCCAGTTCATGCACGCTCAAGGTTGATGACCAGTGTTGTACGCAGAATTCAGGATAAGCCTTCACCAGGGCCTTGTACAATGGCATGACTGCCTTCCTGTTTGTATTGGAGATATTTCTCCCAATTGGGATTGCATTTTCCTTATTTATGGCTGCATCGTGTCCTTCTCCTTGATTCTTTTAGACTGATAAACTCCCACCTTATAGAAGAAGTTTTTGTTCTTGTTCCCCAATGGCATAGTTGTGCATTTTGTTCTGTTGAATTCCATCCCATTTTTTTTTTACTCCAAACCTCAACATCATCCAGTTTTCTGCATGATATGGCTGATTCAGGGCCATGGCTCCGTATCTGTTGACTTAAATTTGCACATGTGAGCTGGAAAAGGGCAGGGGGAGGTTACTCATATGATGGCAGCCTGGAGGCACCTTTGTCTTGCTTCCAGCTCATGGAGTATTTGAAGATTCCAGACTTCCTTCTCCAAAGCTGAGACCTGCTTCCATGCACAGATGATTTACTCTGGCTCTTTGTGGGAAGCTTTCTGCTCGCCACAGCTGAATGGGAGTGTTTGTACAAGTTTTCTGCTCTAGATTTGGATCTGGTCTGCCTCCCTCCACTCACTCAGCTTTAAAAAATACTTTTAATCTCAGAAATATAAATCAGTACACATGTCCCTACTGGGCAAACCTACATCATCATCAATACATAGATTTTCATAATTACACTTCGACAAACTTAAGCTGAATTCATCTACTGTTAGTCCAAGGGAATTTTTTCCACTAAATCCTGAATTGGTTCCTTGCTTTCACAAGTGCCTCCCTTTTCCAGACAGTGGGGTCGCTTCTTAAGTTATGCTTCTGAGTGTAAATAGATCTGAAATAGTACATTTTCCTGCATACAACATGCCCTGGAATAAAATGTGCCGTTTGTTTTTGAAAGGCAGAATGAGAAAAAAAAGATCTTTCCTTGTAGGAATTTATTGAGTAGCAGCAACCAGGAGCCAAGACTACTCATTGTTTTGCTTCCTGTGGATTGCTGCAGATTTTATTTTTGTTTTTGTCCAGGAAATGACAGAATTTGTTCTTACTGTATTTTTTACACATAATGTGCAGTCCAATTTCCAGCAGCTGTTGTGGGGAAAATGTGCTTGTTGTATGAAAAAAAAAAAATAAAAAAAAAAATACCGTACTTTCCCAGCTTCTAGGCCTGTCAAATTTTGTCTTGATTTTCTCCACATGCAGCTTATGTGCTTAATATAAATCACCTTTTTAGATCATCCTGTCATCTGCTCTGCCTTTGGCTAATACTTAAAAATGTTCTCTCACTCCAGGGTCACACCAAGAAACTTAATTTCTTCAAGGTGGGGAAACGTTTTACAATGGTGGACATGCCTGGCTACGGATACCGAGCCCCACAGGACTTTTCTGAGATGGTGGAAGCCTATCTACAAGAGCGGAAGAAGTAAGAGGGCTACCAAATGCAGTTGTAGTATTGCTTCCTGCAGTTCCAAGGCACATATTTGCAAATATTAGATGGAAGAGAGAAACATAAACATAAACTAAAATGTATCGAGGGGTGCATTAGGTGCATTCGACTCCCTGATCAGTTTTTGAACAGAAGTGGGAAAAGTTTGTTTCCAGTCTCTTATGCCTGGACAGATCAAAGCCCCAAGAAATATTTAAGGTGATGTCCTGCACCAGTTCCTCTCAGGATGAATTGTAGTTGATACGAAGGGTTGTGTGGGGGCTAAAATCACTTTTCATTGCTACTCAACTGAGACCACTGTTGCTATGTTGCCACTTAGCTCTTTGTGCCTTTGGCAGCTTGAAGAGGACATTCTTATTAGTGGATGGTGTAACAGGAATTCAGGAAGTAGACAACACTGCTGTAGAGATGTTGGAAGAGTTTGGGATCCCTTATGTGGTAAGTTAATCCTTTCTCTTGAAAGCACAAACCCAGAATAAAGGTTTGTTTAAAGAATGCCCCTGACTTGTGTCTAAAATACATAACAGACCAACCAGATGACCCTGTGCAGTACAGGTCTACTAGCAAGTTAAAGGTGACCTGTATGGCAAAAATCCCTTTCATTATAATATAGGAGGCCTGAAAAGCTGCTTTTTTTAAGGGCTAGATCTTCAAAATAGAATTACTTCTTGGTGTCTGGAGTGAGACACCTGAAAAGGGCCAGATGTTCATAGGGCAAGTACTCAGCATTAATGTAGTATCTTGCCCATTAGATAAGACAGAAGGCAGTTGGAAAACTCTGGGAGAATGATGCATCTTGTAAATGTTTCCAGGCTTCCAATAACATTTCTCTCCTCTCTCACTCTCTCTCTTTTTCTTCCTCTCCATCCTACTCTAAATCTTCACTCAATGGATTTCTACAGCTCGTGTTAACAAAAATTGACAGAGCTCCCAAGGGACTGCTACTAAAAAATGTACTGGCGATCCAGGACTTTGTAGAGAAACAAACTCAGGGATGTTTTCCTCAGCTCTTCCCAGTCAGGTAACCTTCTGTTCTATGCACCTTCTATTTAAGCACCTGAAAGGAAGGAAACTAACTGGAAGGTGTTGGGTGGTTTTGGAGATGGAAGTCCTGGTTATGCACAGAACCAGTGCAGGGGAGGGTACCTGTAGAACGGAGGTGAGACTACATCCTTCTAAGGCCCATACCTCCTTTGGCCTTTCTGGTTTGTGATGTGGAGGCTTGTCTCAGACCACCTGACTCCTCTCAGGCAGACAGTGCAGGGGGTGGTGACTAAGGCACAGTTGACTAGGACCTCCTGTGGAATGATTGTGGCTTTCTTCTTGGAAAAGAAAGGTAGTAGCTGTGCTCAGGCTGCCCAGTACAAATTAATGCTGCTCTATTCAACTGTACTGCTGCCTGTGCTTGCTTTGACTTCAGTGTCAGTACTTGTATTCCTCTTAGCCTATCAGTCTACTTGACTGGGAGGAGGAACAGGCTTTTCTTCTGGATCCACCATTAACAGAACATCAGGCTGAGACCTTGCCCTCTGTTACATCTGTACTGTCTGAGGGAAGCCAACTAGAGAGCACTGATGTAAATGAGAATGGAATTGGACATCTGAGTTACAGATAAAATGGAAAGGACCCAACTTGAGTTTCCCATTATGGGGTCAGATTGTGTCTGTTTATGTGGAGCAAGTTACAAACCTAGGACCCCAAAGTACTATCTTTTCAAGTCAGCTTTCAGGATACAAATACAAAACTACCTCAAATGATCATGCAAAAAAACCTATACCAAGGCCTAGGATGCCGTCCAGTGTTCTGTGCTTCTGTTGTCACTTACACCCATACAAAAAAGCTTCCATAGCAGACTGGTCACGTTCTGCAGGCACTCTTGCAGGAACCCAGGTGGCACAGTATATTTTTTATATTGTGCCTTTTTTTTTCCAGGAGTCACCGTGCCCTTGTTTATCTGTCTTATAGTATACGGGGTCAGTGTATTTTAGACTGAGCAATAAGCAATTGCTCAGTTTTGAGCAGTTGTTTCTGCACATACTAACTAATGAATGGAACAATTAATAAATCCTTATTTCTGTGTAGGACAAAGAGATTGGAGCAGCACTGAGAAAGGTGGATTGGTGATTTTAAGTCACGAGTCAGAAAATCCTGCTCTAAATTATCTTTGTGTGTGTGTGTTGAATCTTTTTTTCTAGGCTGCTTCTCATAGTTTGGTAACTATTAAAACGTATTCAGTAAATATAGCTTGTGCAACAAACTTGGCACTTTGCTATATTATACTTATGTGCTCCTATGTTAAATTATAATATATTTATTTTGATTCTTTACTTTTACATTTGTATGTTAGAAATAGTGAATGAGAAATTTTAAATTAAAATAAAGTAATTCAAGCTATATAAGGAAATAACTTGAAAGTCTGTTTAAATGTACAAAAACAATATCTTAAAGGTTAATTCAGATTTTAAATGAGACTTATTTTTTCCTGAATTATCCAGCACACTTGAGGTAGTTGTGTATAACTGAGCTTAAAAGGAAGGGAATTGTGCGGAATATGATTATTATGTTCTTAAATGTTTTAGGACAACTGGGTCCTAGATTTAGTTTTCATTCATAGGTTAGAAGAGCAAAATTAGAAACCTGACTTTATGAATCTTTGTTTCCACAGTTCTGTAGAGTTTTCTGGGATCTACCTGCTGAGGTGTTTTATAGCACATGTTACAGGAAATCTATCCATTACAGAGTCCTGATGACAACACACATGTCCCTAACCACAACTATCCTGTTGTACTCACTTATCCGCCATAAAAGGTACTAAAGCCCTATGACTGGATTTTGGATTTATGAGTTTGTAAATAATAAAAACATCAAACTAATTCCAGTATTTTATTTTAACTCACTGGGTAGAAAGGTGGAATCTTTGGTTTAAATTATTCCTAGAACAGATTATTTTTCAGATTTCAATCATTATTAACTTCATTAAAATATAATAAACATATTTTATAAATGGTTTATATTTCCTTCCCTTCCTTCATATGAAGGCAGTCTTGAATGTGAATGCATACATTCTAGAATATATGGCTACAGCTGGAGGTGAGCAAGACCCTGAGCTCTTTGAGTTTTAAGCATAGCATCCTCCTTTCTTAGCTAGATCAAGAACATCATGTAGGTGTGTTTTTCCCCTCCAATTAGTCATTGCTTTCTAGATCTCTTTTATTGAGGAAATCAGGGGTACCACGTGGAATTCAAGCCTTCTGATAAATCCATTTAGTTCTAAGTTGAACAGGAATGCAAGTCTTGATTTAGTGAGGACAAGAAAAAAGCAAGCACAAAGCAGTCTTTCAGAACCATCCACCTAATTTTGATTGCAACAAGAGTTGACAAGGACCCAACCACTTATATCAGGTGTAGGCATCAATTAAGTATGCAGATGTCACAGATGGTTTCAGTGGCTGAAATCTGAGAAGTTCTAGTAAAGATTTTTGTCCCCACTAAAATGAAAGTATTTACTTAATGCTGAATATTTCAAATATTTAAACAATTGACCATTTATAAGAACATATATTTGTAAGAGACAGAATACTTCTAACCCGCCTTGCAGACCAACTGTGGAATTGGACATACAGGAGTTTCCCTGAGCATAATAAATCATTGGACAAGACAAGAACCTGGTTCCAATTCTTCTTCTGGAGCTAATGAACTTCAAACATCTGTAGCAAAATAGGTCAACCTCTGGCTATCCCCAGTCCACAGACTCCGGAAGGAGTACTTGATTTCTCATTCATCTTGCAGGAGTGTACTGTGACTGTCCACCCTGCTGGTTCTTGAACTCTGGAAGATGCACCACCAAGAAATGTCTGGTAGATGCACCAGATACATAGGCTGACTTCTTCCCTGTGTTTAGAAGGTGAAGGAAAGATCTCACCTTTGAGTATCAGATATCACAATAGATTTGTCAGTCATAATCTGAATATGGTGCTTCTGACGTGGTGTAGGAAATCCTGGATGCTTGCTGCCCTGCTTGGAAGTCCATTATGTTAATGTGGAGCTTTGCCTCCTTGGAACATGAGAGGCCTTGCATTTGGAGACTGCTGACTTATGCTCCATGCCCTAGTAGAGAAGTGTTTGCTGTGATGGTCACAAAGGAGTGGAAGAGGAGGAATGGGACCTGATGACTGAAACTCATGCTAAGCTTGGGCCTACTCACAAAACTTAAAATACAGAATAACGCTAACTGCGTATTGCAAGAGAATGCGAGTTCATGGCTAGGCCATCTAAGAAGGAATAATGAAGTATCTCTTCCAGCTTATCTTTCTATACTCAAAATGATTTCAGGCAGACTCTTAGTTGTTTGGTGTGTAACCATGTGAAATGTCTATCCTTGATTAATTAGTATGGTAAATATTTTTTTTGCAACTAACTTGTGTTTATGTGCAGGAAGAGACATTCTCCATATGTAACAGATGTCTCTTCCTGATTTAGTATATTTTTCCTGGCTGTTAATCAATTTCTTGATATGTTTCAACCTGGATAACCTCTTGTTACTGAAGAAAGTAACTCATTGAAATTAGAAATTTCTGATAACCAGTAATGAGCAGGTTTTTCCTGTCAATTACTGCTTGGGACTCTCTCTTGATTTACACAACTAAAAGAATGTTTTGAAGATGCTAAACTAAGGGTATAAAAAGGCAGTAAAACAGCAAACAGCGCACACTTCAAGAGTGAGAAATCTCTCTGATGCCAGTTGCTGATGCGCCCAACTTACTTGAGAAGTTGAAGAGAAACAGACTGCTTCTTCGTTGCCCGTTTGGTGAAAAATCATCACCATATAGCTAATTACTGGGCTTTGATTTGGTTTGGGCTCACTTGACTTGATTTTAAATACTTGTAGTAAATAAAGCCTTTCTGTCACTCATCCAACGAGGTGTCAATCCCTGGGCTAGTCCAGAATCCTAGGTTTTTAATTGCTAACAGGACCCTCTACCAGCACGCCAGGGAGTATGCGACTATCAGACACATTTTTTAGGTCAGTCCTAGGGAGCATCCCATTAGGCAGTAAGCAGATCAAAGCCAAGACTGCCTACGTCGGGGGGGGGGGCACAATTATTTTGGGCAGAGAGCCACTTAGTGAGTTTTGGCAAGCCATCGAGGCCCACATGACAGGCAGCCCAGGGCAGATAAATATTAATTTTCTAAATTTTTTAGGGGCCTTGCGGGCCAGATAGAACAGCTTGGCGGGCTGCATTTGGCCCCTGGGCCACATTTTGCCCACCCCTGGCCTACATCCACGTTATAGTCTGAGATGTAGCGTTATGTAGGTGCTAGTCGTTAAATTGTCTCTTTTCTAGGATTCTTTGTACTACTATCTGGCTATTGGTCCTAACATCAAAACACTGGCTAACAGCTGTGCTCGCATCTGAGAGTTATTTTTATTACTTGTTTATTCACTTCCACTGTAATGTCAGTTTTGGGGGGGAAAAAACTGTGGGCCTTTCTGTACTAGCAGCAACAAACTACAGCGTTACCAGACAGATATGTAATGTTGTGAACTATGAGAGACCTCTGTTCTTTCCAAAAAGCTTGAGAAACAGGTCAGTCGCGCACTAGAGGGAGGCAGAATTTGGGGAAGAACAGACTGTTCTTCATTGCTTGTCACATACTGGTCATGAAGTGGAAAGAGGGAGAGAGAAAAAGGATTGGCGCTATGTTAACTGAGAGGAAGATCTTTTACCACTGAAATTACTACAGCATTAGTGTGAATTGTTGCTTTTTTTGTCAACAGGGAAATGTAATACTTATATACTTATTATTTTTAACTATATAAAATTAAGGTGTTTACCAAAAGAGTGAATGTGCATATGCTGGAAAGCTTTAACCAGTTCCATTGGGATTCTTGCTATGCAGGTCTGATTTTATGCTCCACATAGCAAGACTCAAAGGAGAAATTCATAATAGGGAAGCCACTGTGTAAAGTGCAATATTAAATGACTGATGGCATATGGTTAAGAAACCCCAATACAAACTAGAAATTCCCCACCGAGCCACTCCCCTGCAGAATACGATCTTCTCTAGGTAATGGATGTATCTCAGGAAAAAAACTATTTTGAACAGATACCACAAAGCATTGGACTTACTCTCTCCAAATGCCATGCAGTTCATTCACAGGTTCATAGAGATGTTCACTGACCCCATTCTCAAGGGTTTGGTATTAATTTTTCTGGTACTTATAGCTCGGCTGCACCTTTTTTCTCTTCCTCTTCAAATTCTTAAAGAATATGCTTGAATTCAGAGCAGTGATATGTTACTCAGAACATACTTAACAGCTGTTAGAGACCTAATCCTGACTGGGAGAGTGGACCTCTTGCCAGTAGATCAGCGGTTCTCAACCTCTTTAGACCAAGGGCTCCCCTCAGAACATGCCAGCTCTTAGTTTTCACTCATTTTTGACAACATCAAAATAACAGAGCAGTCTCTGCTGCAAGGAACTCAGATGCCACAACCGGGCAGAATGCAAACAGGAATCCGGAGTGCCTGAACCAATCTCTGGTCGATCTTGTGCAGCATGTCTGCACCCCTGGCAGTGCTAACATTGCGTGGCACCCGGAAAAGGATCCCCAGGCACCCGTGTGCTACAGCACCCTGCTTGAGAATCACTGCAGTAGATGAATGCAGGCAGGCCCCGAGAACTTCCCCTCAGGAGATGATCGAACTGAGGCCCTGCACAGAAGTAACAAGTTTCTCAACTAGTATAACCCCTGCCTAAAAATCCTAAATCTAAATAACTGCATGAAAAAGGTGGCAAGTAGTAGCACGGCTCACAAGCCCGGCTTGAGAGGGAGAAAAAATGCTCTTGGGCCAAAGTTCATGTAGGACAGCAGGCCTGGAGCGCCTAGAAATGATCCCCAAAGGATTCAGTCTCTTCCAAGCAGCGTGTTGTGAGTTCTCCCCTCTGCTCATCCCTCCTTGGGCTGGGCAGAGGGAAGCAGGGAAAGGCAGAAGGCTGGTTTAGCATGTTTAAATAGATTTTCACATTCTTTCCCAGTCAAACCTGAATACCTTGTTTTCCACTTGTAGTTTCTCATGGGCTCTTGTCTAACATGGAGCTGTAAAAGTGTAGTCTGACATTGTGGGGTACAAGTGAAGCTGAGGGGACCTCAATGTAGGCCAGCAACAGGCGCTACGCAGGTGAGGAAAGCTGCAGAGGTTGATAGTTCCCAACTCATGAGATTTGGCCTCTCTTTATAAGAGGCACAGCACGAGTACAGCCAATATATAATCTAATTTTTAAATATTTTATTTTTAAAAAATATTATAAAATATTTTAAGTTTAGTTAAAATAATTACTTTTTAAAAGTTAAAAAAATTAAGATTAAAAATTATGTTTAAAACATTTTAAAATTAAATGTAAAAAAATGAAAAAGCACGTGTCTGTCTGTGCGTGCGCGCGGCGACACCCACGCTGCCCCAGCCCAGCCTTGAGACTGTTCCGCTGTCCAACAAGCCGTATACCGAAATGGTGGCGCCAGCCAGCAGAAACCGGAAGTTCCATGGGAGTCAACGGAAGCCTCCCACGGATCGGACAAAGGACGGGTGGGAAGATTTCGAGCCAGCGTCCGTACGGCAAAATGGCCGCGCGGGGCAGCATAAACCGGAAGTCTGGTGTGCGTAAGCGGAAACGCCCATCGAAGGGACGAAGGGAAGGGGTGGAGCCCCGATTGTAGTTCCTTACGAAATCATGGCGGCGCCCACAGCACCACCCGGAAGCTCTGCAGGCTAGGTCGGAAGTGGCGCGCAGCAGGCGGGGCGGGCATCATGGCCGACGAGGAGGAGGACGCGCCGGTGAGTGAGTGAGACATCCACGGGGAAGTGTGGGGAGAATGCGCTGGGCATGCGGTAACCCCTCCCGCCCTTTACCATCCGCAGTTCGAGGAAGACGCGGAGGAGGCGGGTGGAGGCCTGGACGGCGGGCAGGGCAAGCGCAAACGCCTCTTCTCCAAGGAGCGTGAGTACTGGGGCGTGCGCATGCGCGGGGGTGGGGGGCAGTTGGCCCTGTCAAGCGCGAGGCCCCGGCAGATGTTAACTGCGCGTGCGCGGCGTTCTCCCCTCCGTTCCCTAGTGCGCTGCATGATGTACGGCTTCGGGGACGACCAGAACCCCTACACCGAGGCCGTGGACATCCTGGAGGACCTGGTCATCGAGTTCATCACCGAGATGGTGCGTCTGTGCCGGCCCTGCCTGCCCCCCCCCCGGGGGGAGGGTACCCCGTCTGGGCGCATGGGCCACCCTGCCACTGCCTTGCACAACAGTGGGGAACCTGGCTTGCCAAAAGGAGTCTTATGAGGTTCAACAAGGACAAGTGCAAAGTCTTGCACTTAGGACAGAACAATCCCATGCACCAGTACAGGCTGGGGGCTGCCTGGCTGGGCAGCAGCTCTGCAGAAAAGAACCTGGGGGTTACAGTGGACAATAAGCTGAATATGAGCCAGTAGTGTGTTCTTGCTGCCAAGGCTAACAGCATACTGTGCCGCATTGGTAGGTGTGCTGCCAGCAGGGTATGGGAAGTGATTATTCCCCTCTATTCAGCACTGGTGAGGCCACCTGTGGAGTACGGTGTCCAGTTTTGGGACCCTACTACAGAAAGGATGTGGACAAATTGGAGTGAGTCCAGTGGAGGGCAACAAAATGGTGAGGGGGCTGGGGGACATGACTTCTGAACAGCGGGTAAAGGAACTGGGCTTATTTAGCCTGCAGAAGAGAAGACTGAGAGGGGATTTAATAGTAGCCTTCAACTACCTGAAGGTTGGTTCCAAAGAGGATGAAGCTGGACTGTTCTCAGTGGTGGCAGATGACAGAACAAGGAGCAGTCATCTCAAGTTGCAGCAAGGGAGGTTTACGTTGTGCATTAGGTAGAATTTTCGTACTAGAAAGGTAGTAAAATACTGGAATGGGTTACTTAGAGAAGTGGTGGAATCTGCATCCTTGGAGGTTTTTAAGACTTGCCTAGACAAAGCCTTGGCTGAGATAATCTAGTTGGGGGTGGTCCTGCCTTGAGCAGGGTGTTGGACTAGATGACCTCCTGAGGTCCCTTCCAACCCTCATCTTCTATGATACTATTGCATTAGGCCCCTTGGGTTGGTGAGATGCAACCTGTGACCTCCTGAGGTCCCTCCCAACCCTAATTGTCTATGATTTTTCTGTGATTTCAAGAGCCTTACTACAGACAAGTTCCCAGCAGTTCAGAGTCCAGCACAGTGACTGTGCTTCCAAGAGAGAAAAGAGACGTGCATTGCAGTCCATGTTAGTTTTAAACGATACCTTTTAAGGAAATAAAAACGTACGCCTCCTATGATGCTGATTTTTCAGCCAGGGTGCCGCAAAGCTCCCATAAGGGTTGCTGCACAATATTAGCACTTAGGTGTGACAGCACCTACCTGTGGTTCATAAAATAAACCTGGAGACCCAGGTTTTTGCCTTCCCCTGTAGCAGTAGGCATGGCTTTCTTCCTGGGATCCCTTGAGCGTATATTGACAGCATTGCATAGAAGCAGGACCTTGTCTGCCATGGTTCCCCTGCTTTACCTGTGGTAGGTTAGGACAGGCGTTGTCAACCGGGGGTACTTGGGAAGGCCCTAGGGGGTAAGCACAAGCGAGCAGGGACAGAGTGCCACCGCTTGCCAGGGTGGGGTTAGGTGCCTGTGCAGCCCTCTGTGGGCTGCACAGGCACCGGTTGTACATGGGGCAGGGGGGTGGGGAAGATTACGCACAGCA